TGGGACATGACAATTCAAACTGACAGGTAAATAAATGCCAACAGACCAGACATTATAATAAAAGACAAGGAATTCAGGAAGTGTATGCTTATTGACATAGCAGTAACATCAGAGGGAAACAGCTCCATAAAAATTGAAGAGAGATTGTCTTGGAGATTGAGATTAACAGGATGTGAGGAATGAAGTCTGAGACTGTACCAATAGTAATCAGAGCTCTGGGTCTCGTGAGAAAAGGAATGGAGAATTTTATTAACGGTCCCAAGTAACATTAACATACAAGTTGCTCAGAAAATCGCCCTACTAGGAACATCCCATATACTAAGAAAAGTGCTAATTAAACGACAAATCTCTTATAAGGCCTAAGGACCATAGTTTGGACTCGGTTTCTCCAGGATACAAAGCAGAAAACATTACACACAAACAATATCAATAATAATAATAATAATAATAATAATAATAATAATAAGAAGAAGAAGAAGAAGAAGAAGAAAAAGACAAAAAAATAGGAAATGTAAACGCAAAAATAACATTTTAAAAATAATTTTCCTGTTACCTGTTTGGCGTACACGTTCTTGCAATCTTTAACCCCGTTTAAGGGTTAAACATTTCTAAATACAGTTTAGGTTTTCATAAAGTTTATCTTACTCTGGCTCAATGTAGCAAATGTATGGTCACCAGTTAGGATTAAATTAAATGTTGTGAGACTAGTTTACTACGAATTGCCCAACAGCGACTATAGCTTAAACCCATGTATTTAAATTAATATTGATTGATTGATTGTAAGAATATTTTGCAGATAATCCTGATTTACTAATACGCGTCTTACTAATTAACCCATATTTGGCGCAGGGAGAAGACGTGGATTCATACGTTTCCCAAAGATATGCAAGCGAACCTGAGTGGAATTAGAACTTGGATCGCCGATTTCCAATTCCGAGCAGTTATCCATTACACCACCCGCACATACTAACTTACAAAACCTGGTATTCTCAAGCGGTCACATATCTAGTTACTGACAGAGGACATCGTTGCTTAACTTCAGTGTTTTAACGTGATATGGCTGTAAGCCAATATGCATAAGAACTAACCTTTAGAAAGCATTAATTTTCTCGTTATCTGTGTGGCGTGAACGTTCGTGTAACTAGTTCCCCCATTTAAGGATTAAATATTGCTAAATGCCCTTTAGATATTTACAAAGTTTGGCTTCATGCAGCGTATGTGAGGCCAGCAGTTAGAATTGAACTTAATTAAATGTTGTAAGACTAGTTTGCTAGGAATTGCTCCACAGCGAATATACCTTAATCCGATGCATTTAAATTAATAATAACTCTACTGACAACATGGAGGATAGCGTTTGGCTTGTTATACTAACAGTAACATTGACTGGAATTACAGAAATATTTTGTTATGTCATCATCCAAATCGCCTGAGCTCGCTTTTGTAATAATTCAATTAAGAAATGCACTGATCGTCTCCAGGGGAGCGTTACAATTCATTTTATTTATGGCCGTTTTAGTGTAGGTATCTCTTACTTATGGGCTTTTCTGTATAAAGCAACGTATCGCTGGGGTAGTGGGTGCTGTTGGAGAGGAGGAGGGGAACGATTCTAGCGACGCCATAATGACACCTCATCCGGGTCCTTTCGTCGCAATATTTTCCTTGCCGAATTCTGACCATCGATTTTTGTTTTCGATACACACGTTTTCATTTTTATAAAACGCGGCTATCCGACCAAAACATTAGAAAACACCAACTTAATTAATAGTACTAGTATTATTATTATTAGTAGTATTAGCAGTGATAGTAGTAGTAGCAGTAATACTTGTAGTATTATTATTAATTGTATTATTATTATTTTTATTAATTGTAGTATTATTATTTAGCAATTAGTAGATCATCAGTTGTAAAAGTAGTGTTATTAATTGTATTAAATTTATGTTATTAAGTGTAGGATTATTATTATTATTATTAATTGTATTATTATTGCATTGTTATTATTAACTGGATTATTATTATTGTTAAGTGCAGCATTATTATTGTTTTATTATTAGTATTTATTGCTATGTTATTATTATTAATAATTATTGTATTTTATTATTATAAGTATTATTGTATTTTAAGTATTATATTGTATTTTAATATTATAAGTATTATTGTATTATTATTATTATTATTAAGTATTATTGTATTTTATTATTATTAATTGTAGCATTAATTGTATTATTATTAGTCGTATTATTATTAATACTTGTATTATCATTATTTTATTATTATTATTAATATTATCATTATTATTGTTAATTATAGGATTAATATTACAACGTATTATTATTATTATTAATTGAATTATTATTATAAAGTGTATTAATATATATAATTACGGTAATAGCTTTAGCAGTATGCTTGTTATTAACAAAGGTACTTTTCGTATTGTTTTACTATTAACCGCAGGTGTTTATATGAGTAGTATCCATTTCAGCGTTTATTGACTATTGAAAGGATATTGTATGCTAAACAAAAGTATATTCATTTATAATATCAGCTCGTGGATAAGTTAGAGACATGGTCTGTTGTGACCATGGCTGTTAAATAGTAGCGTTTATCCTCACAGGGTACCCTAAGCTTGTATTCTTGTGTAGAACTAAGCTAGAAATCTATTTACATTATCTAAAATGCTTATTTTTATCGTACCTTAATAATTACAGCTACTACTATTATGGAAATTTAAGTATTCAAGGTTTGTTTATCACATATTTAAACAGTTGATTTGCTGAAATTAAATAGCAACTATCAGATTTAATAATAATAATAATAATAATAATATAAGGTGATTTCTAAGAGCCGCTTAGATGTGACACCCAGTGAGGAACAAATTCACTACTCAGTTGCAATTGTTCTATCAAAACACGCTTACTAACCATTATACCACGTCGAGGTGGCCGGCGATTTTCTAAGGCCGAAAGTATGGAGAAGCCAGTGATTGATCAAACTCTTTATTCAGCCGTAACTGATCTAACGAGACAGGCTTGTTAACCATTACATAACAACCCATAATAATAATATAAAGACCTTAAAAACACAAAATTGTAAGAAAGTGATATCTTTTATTTACATTATTCGGACTATTGTCTTCATCTTTGTCGCCATATTTATTACAACGTTTCGGCCGTTGTACGCTCCGGCCTTCTGCAGGTGGTTGGAATGTCGAACCGAACCCTTTATTTCGCTCACTGGGGTAGACTGTTCTAGTTCCACGTGCCATGTCTAACGGATGTCAGTTAGTTATCTCCTGCTTAATTAATTCCCTCTGAAAGTTCTCCACTGCCTTAACCGGGTATTGAACTACACTCTTTGGGTCCTGTCACTGGATCTAACCAACGCCTTTATCCTATGACAGGACCCAAAGAGTGTGAGTTCAATACCCGGCTAAGGCAGTGGAGAACTCTGAAAGGTAAATTAACAGGTGATAACTGATAACTGACATCCATTAGACATGGCACGTAGAACTAGATCATGAGGAAGGCCGGAGCGTACAACGGCCGAAACGTTGTAATAAATATGGCGACAAAGATGAGGACAATAGTCCGAATAATGTAAACAATGTACATAATGCCTCTTTTCAGATATATAGACAGATACAGTAGTATCTTTTATAATTCTTTCACCTCGGGCAAGGCAATAATGCCACTAAGACACAAGGAACTACTGGAAGTGAAAGAAAATAAAAAAGACTTTAGGGGAAAGAACCGGAAACCCAATCCTAAACAGGAAACAAGGGATAAACCCCTACTCCTGTTCAAAACACAGTGAAGGAGTGTTAATCAAAACTGCCATTCCAATAATAATAGGAGCACGTGGAATGATTAAAACGAATACTGATATACTGATGAAGAAAATCCCGGGAAGGCCATCCGGTATATTTACCCAGTCTCCCCACCAAGGCTGGCACAAGTCGTTTTAACGTGGGGAGCGTTAATTATGCATATGGGCCAAGGACAAAATTTGTTTACGCCTGCCCCCAAACTCCGCGACCACTGTCACGTTGGCTTTAGTGCAATGAGGGAGATGCTGCTGTAGGGTTGGAATCCCCGGGGACTGAACAATATGGCGCCAATTGCAACACAGAAGGAGGTAACCATTGCCTCAGTAAACCCATATTGGCAATGACTAAATTCTGTGCCCGGGAAGCTCATCAGTAACTGAGGTCAACTGGTTGTGCTTATGTACACTACATAGTCAGAAAAAACCCTCACATAGTCAGAAAAAAACCCTCACATAGTCAGAAAAAACCCTCACATAGTCAAAAAAAAAAAAAAACCTCACATAGTCAGAAAAAACCTTCACATAGTCAGAAAAAACCCTCACATAGTCAGAAAAAAAACCTTCACATAGTCAGAAAAAAACCTCACATAGTCAGAAAAAACCCTCACATAGTCAGAAAAAAACCCTCACATAGTCAGAAAAAACCCTCACATAGTCAGAAAAAACCCTCACATAGTCAGAAAAAACCCTCACATAGTCAGAAAAAAAAACCCTCACATAGTTAGAAAAAACCCTCACATAGTCAGAAAAAAACCCTCACGTAGTCAGGAAAAACCCTCACACAGTCAGAAAAAAAACCCTCACATAGTCAGAAAGAAAACCCTCACCTAATCAGAAAAAAAAACACTCACACAGTCAGAAAAAAAAAATCACTCACATAATCAGAAAAAAACCCTCACACAGTCAGAAGAAAAACCCTCACTTAGTCAGAAAAAAACCCTCACATAATCAGAAAAAAAAACCCTCAAACAGTCAGATGAAAAACCCTCATATAGTCAGAAAATAAAACCCTCACATAGTAAAAAAACCTTCACATAGTCAGGAAAAAACCCTCACATAGTCAGAAAATAAAACCCCTCTCAATAGGCTCAAAAACATTCTAAGAAAAACCTTCCTTAACCTCAGTTCAAAAAAAAAAAAAAAAAGAAAAAAAGAAGAGTCCTTAAAGAATATGTCACGCTGAAATACTAGTTCCCATATGATCACCGAAGTTAAGCAAAGTCGAGCCTAGTCAGTACCTAGATGGGTGACCTGTTGAGAATACCAGATACTGCACGCTTGGATGTGCGTGTTATGTAACGGGTAATAAGTCGTAACTTTTAACCGCGGAGCTAAGTTTCAACTTGTTAAAGGCATGACTCCATCTCTTCTCCCCCAGCTATGGGTTAATTAGTAAAATGATTTTTTACAAAAAAGATCATTGGAAAATGTCATGAAACCATTTCTGACCTTAGGTCCCAGATTGGGACCCGGAAGGAAAGCAAAGGAAATAATAATAATAATAATTATTATTATTATTTTCTTTGATTTCTGGCGTTTACAAATTTCTTTCTGGGTACCGCCAAGGGACCTAAATTTTTTCTCAATGGAAAGTGTCATGATGCCATTTCTCACCTTAGGTCTCTGATTGGGACCCGGAAGGAAATATGTATATAACAGATATCAAACGTAATAATAATAATAATAATAATAATAATATTTATTTTTTAATTTTCTTTGATTTCTGGCGTTTACACATTTCTTTCTGGGTCCCGCCAAGGGACCTAAAGTTTTTGTTAGTGGAAAGTGTCATGATGCTATTTCTAAACTTAGATCCCTGGGCGGGACCCGGAAAGAAATGTGTAAACGCCAGAAATCAAAGGAAATAATAATAATAATAATAATAATAATAATAATAATAATAATAATAAATCCTACCAATGCATGGCTTTCATGGCTTCTGATCTTAACATGTATATCTATTGTTTGTTTTTTTTTTCTGGCGGTGCAGGGGTTAATTAAAAAGGGCTAGTCAATATACCGTTCAGTACAACAGATTACCTTGTCAGTTGCCTGGCCATAATCAGTTTAGCCTATCCCTACGAATGACCAAATTGTCCACCTCTATTGATTACCGTCAGTAGCAGGGTAACGTGAGACCCGGGTGTCGAAAATATCGGTTTGAGAAATTAGGCAGCCAGATCAGATCTAGATACATGGAAACGCCCTCAATCGGAGACCTTCTGTGCCAACTGGGTTACCCGGCCCGACAGTATTTCGAACTGGACCAATACGTCCAGGTTCTGCGCTGCTTTGATCAAAAACTAACTATACTGTGCACATTTGGCTGGGATGCGTGTACCTGGTATACCAATATTAAACTGGGTGTCATAATGGATATATTGGGATTCGTGGATTTTCTCACCATCGTCCATCGGTGCGTTGCCCTCTCACTCAAAAATAATAATAGTAATGATTCTAGCAAAGAGCTTGGAAGACGTGAGTTAGGAGGATTTAGTAGACTTGCTGTCACTTGATCCCCAGTTTTTTTAAATCCCCCTAACACCGAATTTTCGTCGCATTTATTGATGTAATGTGGGGTTACTGATAAATGTCCGCTTCGTCACAAATATGTACACATATTATAAATATGCTGAAAAGTTCTCGGCCGGATGTACTTTCGATTATTATTTTTTTTTTTTTTGGTTTAATTGGTATCACTTCAAGCAAGGCAGTACGGCCACTAGTACGCAAGGGGTTACAGGGTGTGGGGGGATTAGGAACAGAAACATTAGTAATGAGCAAAAAAATAATGGAAAGAGTAATGAGGAGGACAGTAAATAGCGATTGACATTGTAACTAAATTTTTACAGATTAAAGTTGATTGGGAAACAAGGAGTTCCACAAGCGAGAAGTGCGAGACAAAAAACTAAGAGCATAGAAGTTACGGCTACATCTGAAAATTGATGAGATCTCGTCGCTAGTCAAGTATTGCGGTTAAATTCATACAGTCTAGGCATGGGGCAATAGCTAACGAGATAATTATTGTGTCATAAGGTCGATCCTCACCGGGGACTCCTTAGTTTTCGAACTGTGCCAAATTAAACAAGCTGGGCAGAGTATTGCTAGACAGGAGGATTTCTTTGGTAACAAAGAAAAGAGTACTGAGCTGCTATGTGACATCTGTCCTTTTTTACGGCAGCGAATGTTGGACGGTCTCCTCAAAGATGAAGAAGAGACTCAAGGTGATGGAGATGTGGTTCTACAGAAGGATGCTGGGGATATCATGGACCGAACGTGTGAGCAACGATGAGGTCTAGGAGAGGATGAAAACAAGGAGGAGGCTTATACTTTTTTTAAGCGTTTCACTCCAAGCAAGGCGGGAAGCCACTAGCACGCAAGAGGTTACAGAGAGTTGGTGCGAGAGCAAATAGGAGTGATAGAGGAAAGGATAAAGAGAAGGATAGGGGATAGATCAAGGCATCTGGAGACGTCGATTGACATTACATTTGAATAGTTGAAAAAGGGAGGGAGTTCCACAGGTGAGAAGTGCGAGACATAAAGTTATTGGAGTAGACGAAACGGCTACATTTAACAGTTTCGACAGTGAAAGGGTGAGAGCGAGATGCCAGCCTAGTAGAACGCTTAAATTCATGAAGTCTGGGAACCAGCGAAAGCAGCTCTTCGGAGCAGTTACCATGAAAGTATTTATTAAAAAGACAGAGGGAGGCGACGGCACGTCTGTGAGAGAGCGACTGCAGACGAGATGCCAGATCAGGGCCAATTACATTGCATATCCGTTTCTGGATCTTATCAAGAACCTTGAGACAAACAAAAGGGGCTCCAGACCATATATGGAAGCAATGTTCCATGCAAGGGCGAATGGTTGATTTGTAGATTTGAAGGATTGACTCCGGCAAGAGAAAGTTCCTGGCTCGACACAGGGAGCCAACTTTCCTTGCGGTGGCCGAAGCTATTGACTCAATGTATTTGTTCCATCTCAGGTCAGCAGTCGACGTGAGACCGAGCAGTCACAAAGAGGAGCTCTCGAGAAGACATTATGATGGGGGTGGCACGGATGGTTCTCTGTGATGAGTAATAGGAGGAGGAGGCTGAAGTTTCTGGGACACGAAATGAGAAAGGAGGTCCTAGAAGTAAGGGCGACACTGACATCCGTAGACGTATTGGGATGGCCAATGACATATTCCAAAATCTGGGTCGAGTATTGCGACACAGGAGTATATCTTTGGTAACAAAGAAAAGAATACTAAACTGTTACATGACATCAGTCCTTCTTTACGCAGCGAATTTTGGACGATTTCCTCAAAGTTGAAAAAGAGACTCGAGGTGACAGAGATGTGGTTCTACAGAAGGATGCTAAGGATATCATGGACCGAGCGTGTAAGCAACGATGAATCTTAGAGAGGTTCCAAACAAGGAGGAGGCAGCTGAAGTTTCTGGGACACGTAATGAGGAAGGAAGGCCTGGAGAATCTGATACTCACTGGTCGAATAGAGGTAAAGAGAGACAAGGGAAAACAACGCGTGGCGGGCTTAAGCAAGTGGATGACAGAACGTGGTCTGGGGGAGGAAGTAGAGGGAAGGAACTTGTTGAGAGCTGCAAGGGATAGAAGGAGGTGGAGAGCCATGATCGCCTACGTCCTGAAAGGACACGGCACATAGAAAGAATATTACATGACAATGCAAAATAAATTCGCTTTTTAATAAAAGTATTTTTGCATCGCTTTTGTTGGCATTTATGCTATAATAATGTAATTAAATTGCATATCAACAAAACTTTCTTTCTCCATGAGCCATATTCCGTTCACTATGTAGGCGGTCATGTAAATTTTCCTGTTCCCCGTGGCTCTTAATAAATGCCTCCGCTATTTCTCCTAAACCCTGTTATACAATCTATTTTCTCAAGTCCATCTCAAACCGTCCTGTGAGTATCTGATTCTCCAAGCCCTCCTTCCTCATTGTGTGAGCCAAAAATTCCAACCATGTCTTAAGTATAAGTTTCCTTTTTGTTTCCATTATCTCTAAAACTTCGTCGTTGCTCACATGTTGTGTCTATGGTATCCTCAGCATCCTTCTGCAGAACCACATTTCTGTTGCTTCAAGTCTTTCCTTCATCTATGAAGAGAGTGTCCAGCATTCACTTGGTTTGTTTGGTTTGTATTGTTTTACGGCATATCAACACCTCAATGGGTCATTTAATACCGGCAACTTTTTTTTCCTGGTAATATTTTTGTTTTGACAAAAATCTATTTCTGTTAATATTTTTTTTCCTCAAAAATATATAGCTGGTAATATTATTTTTTCAAAAACGTATAGTTGGTAATATTATTTACTGTTGGACGTAGTTTATCGTCATACCCAGGATGCGGATGTAGTTTATCGTCATACCCAGGACGCCTAGCATTCATTGCCATACAGGAGGACAAATATCACGTAACAGTTCGGTAGTCTTTTCTTTGCTTATAACGAAGTTTTTCTGTCTTTTAATACTCTGCTTAGCTTTTGGAAAGCACCTTTTGCTGTCCAAGACGCAACTCTGTTCACAGCAATAAAGCCCAACAAGAAATCTGACAACACCTTACCAATAAACCTAAAATACTAAATTGTATAATTTAAAAAAAAAATGAGTACAAGGCAAAAAATTGAAAATAAATACATTGTATCTAAATACAAATTAGAGACATGTCATAATAGATCATTCCATCTTAAATAAATACATTGTATCTAAATACAAATTAGAGACATGTCATAATAGATCACTCCATCTTAAATAAATACATTGTATCTAAATACAAATTGGAGGCATGTCAATAAATTATTCCATCTTAAATAAATACATTGTATCTAAATAGAAATTAGAGACATGTCATAATAGATCATTCCATCTTAAATAAATACAATGTATGTAAATACAAATTAGAGACATGTCACAATAGATTATTCCATCTTAAATAAGTCAACAATGTTTTACGGATTGTTTTGACATCAACTTGAAAGTTTTCTGGTTAAAAAAAAATTGAATAATTTTAGCGGATTCAAAATTATGGCTAAAAAATGATGAATTTTTTATAGTGCTTCTTCCAGACTGAGCATGAGCAAAACAAATTCACGTATTTGGACAAATATAAAACATCAGGACTCCGAGTTACTTCAAAATGTACAGAGCCTTTGCTATTCTTTAATAGTCAGTGGTGCTTTTTTTTGCTTTTTTTTTAAGCATTACGCCCCGAGCAAGGCGTGAAGCCACTAGGATGCAGGGGGTTAGAGAAGATATATAT